TTAAAAAACATATCAGACATGTGCATGATTGCCCAAAATCATGACAGAAAGGAGAAATGCAAGAAAAAAAGGACTGTACCATGATCATATCCTACTGGGAAACACCGTCTCTGTCTCTGTCTCTATCTCTATCTCTGTCTCTCCTCTCTTTTCCCAGCCCCTTTTTGGTGAGTACAGCCTGCCAAAAAAGAAAAAAATAATAAAAGAAAAAGAATATTAAGTACCAATAGTACAATGCAAAACTTTTAAGGTACAGAACAATAGGATAATTTTCATTTTCTTATTTATGCTTTCCTATATTTTTAAAATTTTGTACAGTAGCCATGGATATTTCATATCAAAGAAAAACAAAATGATATAAAATTTCTTTGAAAAAAAAAATTCAGGCCTTACAGTTTTGGAAGCTTTTATTGACTTGCCACCATCATCTAAAGTGTAAACCGTGGCATATGACACAGAGCATGTTACATGGTGGGGACTCAATAAAACTTTACTGAATTATTTTTTCTCTTTTTGGAGTGTTCCCAGTGACTCATGGGAAGAGGTTAGAAATACACAACAATCACTGCTGAGGGAAGAAGCTCCGTAAGGAGTACTGAAAGTTTTGGTGAACCTCTCAATACTGGTGAGGCTTTACCATCTGAAATTCCTTTTCGCTCAGGAATTTAAGATTCCCTGAAATCACTGCCCTCCACTCTTGACAGCCAAGGCAGGGGACTATATATAGTAGGTAAGTATGACCCATCTCCACCTAACAAGAATGGGGCTGGTTAGCTCGGGGGCTGGAGTGGGGCAGTCAGCCACTGTCCTATAGAGTCCATCCTGAGCCCTGCACTTTGGATAAGAGCGTACTGCTTTCCTCAATCCATAATTCACTTTCTGCTTCCATTTCCCAAAGTGACATAGATGCCGAATTGGCAAAACCACAAGCCTTGCCTCTTCCTGGCTTGTTATTTGACCATATGTTCCAGCTCACCTTGGCTTTCCCATCTCAACATCTGCCCTCCAGGAATGCTCTAGTTCCAGACATTCCACTTCCTAGAGACTAATGCTCTTGGGCCAACACCCAGTGGTCTTCCCAACACTCATGAGTCCCAGCCCACTCCTTAGTTATGCCGAGAAGTCTGGATTGATTGCCTCTGTTTCTTGCTCCTCAGTAAATTTGTAATCTGTTCTGAGAATCTGTTATTGTCAGAGATTCCCTATTGAGTAATTTCAGAGGATCATATCTGTAGAGGGAGTCTGGAAATCTCTGGACCACAAATTGGAAGACCATGGATCTTGACATATGTCCTATGTGACCTTGATTTCTTTACTTTTCTAGATTTTTCTCTCTTAACAGATTGGGATCAGATAAACTCATGGGCCATGGATATGCTGGGGAAATAAAAAGTATCAGGACCTTTGCAAGGTCATGTTACTACTGTGGCTGCTAATTCTGCTGGCAACCTGGGAAAGCTGGGAGGACAAAATGACAAAACAGATGTGAAATTGCCCAAAATAGAGTAATGAGCACAGTGGCAGTGAAGAGCATGGAAAGGGAAACTCTGTATTTTCACAAATGAGGGAAAGTAAGGGCTTCCCTGCTCAGGAGTGAGGGAGTGGTCCTCCAAATGCATATTATTTGTATGACGGCCCCTGAAACTGTGATTGACTCTCACTGTCACTTCTTACACCCCTGAGCTGGAAAGAATTGAGTCCAAAAATAGTGTCACTTATGATAAAAACCACTGAGTGTTTCGATTGAGGGCAAGAAGAGGAAGGGAATTACTACTCTCTCAGAGCTGGGAAATTATATTTAGATGGAATATCAGAATAACTAGTTCATTTTTACTTCATTTGTTCATTTAACTAAATGAGGGCCGTCATCCTCAATCCATGTTTCCCACCATACCCCTCCCCATTAAATTGGTAGTTTGGACTGTCTCTGGACATTTATTAAACACACATTTACTGAATACTTTCTGTGTACACAGAAATAAGCACAACATGGTTTCTGCATCAAAGAGAAATCCCACTTGCTTTCTAGTGGGAGAGACAAATAGATATGTGATAGGGATAAGATGGAAGATGCTCAGGAGGATGTGGGTACACAGAGATGTAAACTGAAGTGAGGAAGTTCTCTAGAGAAGTCAAGCACCATTTTTGTTGGGTAGGTGAGAGGCATTTGTTATCATTCTCAATCAGCTATTACTCAGAGATTACATCAAGGTATAAATCTTGAAGGCAATTACTTTGGCACAGTCTTATTTCACTCTTGGTGTGGAATTTCACTGACATAAACATGGAATTATTATTGGAACGTTCTTTGGGAGTCAACAATTAAATCAAGGCCCAGATCTGGAGGCTTGAAACCCAGGCAGAGAACATGTGCATGCGTACCTATGATCCCTGGAGAAGGGAGAAGAAGGGATTATGGTGTGGCCATACCCCCTTGAGGGTGATTTCTCACTTTCTGTCTCTCTCTCTGTCTGTCCTCTCTGGCAAGTCCATTTGCCCTATAGCAAAAATCTATCTGAAAAAGTTAATTAATTAAACATTAGGATGTGAATGTCAATAAATCCATTGTGTGGCTCAATGAAGATTAATTTGCATTCTTATCTACTATCATTCTCCTGATGTCCCAGAACAGATATCTTCACAATCCCCCCACAGTTTGAAGATGGAGGGTCCTCTTTAACACATGGTGGGATTTAGACTTCACTTGGAGCTACTCTTACACAGCTGAGGGAGAAACTTCTCCATCCTTCAGGCTTCCTGGCTCTTGTTATGTCACGTCATGGGATAGTTATTTCCATTATGTCAAGTCCATCAGCAGGCTCAGAACTCTTTGAGTTCTGTCTACCCCCGACAAACAGCAGATGGGTAGGAAGTTGGGTTGGATCAAAATACTGTGGATAACAAAGCCTCTGTGGATCTGGGGAACATGAGGCATGTCCTCCTTCCCTTAAAACAAGGTCCTTGATGCGTGAAGGTGAAATTAAATCAACTGTAAGAGATGCAATTAATTACATGTGATATCAGATATTTGAAGTAAGACCTGTAGAAGAAAAGGGCAAAGGCAGAAAGAACAGAGAAAGAAGTAATTAGAGATTTTATGCAGGGAGCCAGGGGAAGAAAGGAGGCAGAAGGAACTTTTACTTTATTTAATGACCTTGAGGTGGGTACCAGGATGCTGTTTTGACCCCTCCTGTCCCTTATCTCTAAATATCCAGGAGGCCTGGATTCCTCTTCACTCTACTTTTTTACTTTTCCAGAGCAGAATGAGTAACCACGTGGCATTAGAGGGAAGCAGATGAGTCAGAGTAGCCAAGCTCAAGGTAGATAGAGATCTTAATCCAATTATCCTAATTCCCTTCGTCTTCCCTACTTCATGCTCTGCTGAATTCCTGGCTTTTTAAAGCTTCACTTTCTCTTTTTTTGAGAGAGAGATTTTTGCTATTGGGTGCATGCACTGGCTGGATAGACCGAGAGAGACAGCAAGACAGAAAATGAGAAATCACCCCCCCACCCAGGGAATGGCCACACCACAATCCCTTCTCCTCCATTCTCCTCTTGGAATTTTGGGCACACACACTCGGCATAAATTTTAAGCTGCCAGGTCTGGGACTTGAACCGTGGTCGACTATGTGGGAGTCCAGTGACATAACCTTTATGCCATTTGTTGCTCTTTACTTTCTTTATAGGCTACCTGTTTACAGAAGCTGTTAAGCCAGCCATGGCTTAAGTAAACCTAAGACATTCCCTATAGAATAACTGGGAAATACTTACATGCTTAGATGATACATAATATTTTGTCTGTAACATAAATGCTAGGTATCCAATTCCATTTTTATACTAAAGGAACATTAATTATCTGGATCTTCCAAACTTGATTCTTACGAATTTCTTTCTCCTGTTCTCTTTGGGGTCCAAGAAAACATCCTGAAAACTTCATTTTTAAATTCCCATTCCCTCCTTGTTCTGGGACAGATTAAGTCCTCTCCTGAATTAAGTCCTGATAAGATGGGTCTTTGTGTGTGGTATAGCCTCTAGTGGTAGATGGTTTCTTTGTGGCCACATTCTATATTTGCTCTGTAGGACTACAGAATGGAAAGTAGATTTTGGAGTTCGACGAATCTCAGTTCAAATCTTGGCACTGCCACTTAGCAGCTGTGAGGCCTTGAGTAAACTGCTCTCTGATTCTCAGTTGCCTGATCTGTAAAATAGGCGCTATCGCATTCCTACCCGAGGTTACATTGGGTTTAGATATAATACATGTAATGTAGCTTCCCCAGTGCCTGGATTACATAAATGTTCATTAAGAAGAAATTACAAATGTTGGGCCAACAGATGGCATGGTGGTTAAGGCACAGGATCCCACAGTTGTGGCTGATTCCATAGTTTCAGGACCTGGCAGCCTGGAAAACACGTTGGGCACATGTGTGTGAGTACCCAAAATTCAGAGATATGAATGGAGGAGAAGGGATTCGGACATGTCCATCCCCCCAGGGGGTGATTTCTCACTTTCCCTCTCTCTCTGGAGAGTACACATGCCCTGGGGGGGGGAGGGGAGAAGAAGGAAAAGAAGAAATTGCAAATGTTGCTGAGTTGCCCTGCCGGGTCCTTCCACATGTTCAATGCTGGGCTCTTTCTGCCCAAGGAAACATATACTCAACCCAGCAGAGAAGTACAGGAATGAGACGTGGCAGTTTTGCCTCCCTCTTCCTTCTTGGGGCTAGGCTTGTGGCTAATCTGAATAGACTGACATGAAGCTTCCAGTTGCTGGAGGTGCCAACCACCAAGAGCAGCTGGGCTTTTGTCTACAAGCCTCTTCTAGCAGGTGTGAATGCTTCATCTTTCCTCTCTCCCCGGTTCGCAATTCTCTCCCCGTCTCGGTGGCTGCCTTTGGTGTACCACTTCCCTCAGGGGTACAGCCCACTTCTCTACTCCCTCTCTTGTCTCCGTGATGACATCACCTTGGGGAAGAGAAGCTGTGAGGAACTCCTCACTCTCCCCTAGCTTCAGTTTCCTTCTTGACACCCTGACATCATCACTACCATGGAAATTCCACTCATTCTCCTGTGCCCCCACCTCTCTTCCAGGCCTCAGAGTCTCTATAAAGAGGGGTTCCCAACTCAGTATCAGCACAGGACACAGCTGGGTTCTGAAGCTTCTGAGATCTCCAGTCTCAGTCTGCGAAAACCTTTCTTCCACCAAGACCATGAAGCTCTGCGTGACTGTCCTCTCTCTCCTCATGCTAGTGGCTGCCTTCTGCTCTCCGGCGCTCTCAGCACCAAGTAAGTCTGCTCTCTTGGCTGTCATTTCTAGAGTTGGGTGTAGGCACAGAACACTCTTCTAGTTGAGGCTGGGTCAACAGCAGAGTCTGGGTATGAGACAAAAGGGAGCTGGGAAGATTTCCAAGCAGTCTGCTGTTAAACATAACGTCTGGTAGATATTTGATAATACCAGATTTCCAATTTCCTTAGGAATAAGCATTGAGTAGAGGGAAAGGATGGGCTAGAAGCCAGACTGTCAAATTGGCTTTGCCTCTGTTACTTGTTTAAACAAATTCCTGCCCCCCCTCTGTGCCTTGCTTCTCTGTCTGTAATGTGAACAGTGAAATGTCCAATCCAGTCCCAATCTTCTAAAATTCTTTCCTGTTTTTCTCTGGGGATCCTTTATTCAAAATAAAACCCCCACTTGGGGTAAATGGGACTGGATATAAGAGACCATGTTGGAGATTCTGGTAGCTCCAAAGGGATGCTCAGTAAATGTCTGTAACTGGAAGCCCAAATGAAGAGTTCCCACGTAGAGTTGGAATCTCATCCTGCTTTCTCTTTCCAGTGGGTTCAGACCCTCCCACTGCCTGCTGCTTTTCTTACACCTTGAGGAAGCTTCCTCGAAGCTTTGTGACAGATTACTACGAGACCAGCAGCCTCTGCTCCCAGCCAGCCGTGGTGTGAGTATCAACCCCTGGGACATTCTGGGAGGCAAGGATGAGGGTAGGATGTAAATGGGGAGCCTGTTTGGGGCGAGAGATGATTAAGCAGTGGGCAGGCAGTTCTCAGGGCTAAAGCCCTCCCAGAGAACAGTGAGGAAACAGATCATGAAAGTGGCTGGGTAGCAATAAAAGAAAAATGGAGGTCATGAGGAAGAAGTTATTTAGAGGTCAGAAAACCAGAAGGAATTAAAAAAAAAAAAAGTCACATGAGATATGGGCCAATTCCTTAAACTATGCTAGAAAAACTTGGGGGAAAGTCGTTGCTACAGATGGGAGGGAATGGAGACATATATCCATATTGATCACAAAACTCATTGGTTTTTGATCTGGGCAACACCTAAGGCCATAGCTAAATCCAGTGGGTAAAAGTTCCAGGGAGTCTGGTTCTAGAACCACCTAGGAAAGATCCCATCCACTGGAGATGCCAGGCATGACCTATGGTCAGCCAGAAGGAAATGCCTGCCAGAGGCAAGGGCAGGACCAGATGTCCCCAAAGGTCTCTGGGATTCTAATCTGTCCATTTCTTGTTCTGCAGATTCCAAACCAGAAAGGGCAGACAAGTCTGTGCCAACCCCAGTGAGTCCTGGGTCCAAGAGTACATGGATGATCTGGAACTGAACTAAGGTGTTCCAAGTTCAGGGCAGGACATCTTCAGAGAAGGTCACCTGAGCCCGGATGCTTCTCAGTGAACTGCACTTTCTCCATACTCATGACTCCTCTTAGTATTTCTGGTCCCTTCTCTTAATTTAATCTTCATTATGTGTTGTATTATTGTATTTGATGTTGACTTTATTATTTATGTTTGTCTTGCCAAAGGTCACATGTCCCCTATGGGGACGAGTCGTCATCTTTGTTTCTCTGCTATTGAGAATTCATGGATGATGCAGTTGATTCCATGTCTTTTCATAATAAAACCTTTTTTTTTTGAAATGTAGACAGTTTCTTTGTGTTTCTAATTTGACTTGGGGTGAAGGACATTTCTTGACACTATTATTAGGGACAAAATAGTTTCCAAAAGCAATAAACATAAGCAATTCTTGAGTCCTTACTACGTGCTCTGGACTAAGTGCTTCCAATACATGATCTCAATACTTCCTATAAGGATTTTAGAGCCCATGTAAAGGAGGGACTATTGCTCCCAATTTTACAGATGAGGAAACAGGCAGAGAAGCAAAATGATTTGCTAAGATTGGAGGTCTGCTTGGGGAGCACCACAAACGGATGTCCAAAGGAATGGCTGTGGTATTAAGGGTTCTCATTTCAACATCTTGTAGGGAAGTTGTAAATAGAGGCAGCAGCCCAACAGAGAGAGAAGTAGTTCAGAGTCAGTTCTTCATTTTATTATCAGTGTAACATTAGAACAACTTCTTGCCTGACCTCCATTTTCATACAATGTAAAACAGGGATAATATTGAGCACCTTGAAGGGTTATTACAAGGTGGGCTGGGCACCTGAAAGACACTTTTTTTTTCTTTGAGCCTCAGTCTTTTCACTTAAAATGGGCATAGCAGTGCTAGCCCATGGTTTAATGATTAAGATGGTTTAATCCTACAGGACCAGCTGGGCAGTTCAAATCTCAGACTGGCAGTTAGAGAACGTGCCAGGTATGTGTGTGTGCATGACCAAAACCTTAATAGGAGGGAGAAATGAAGGAGATGGGATTATGGAATGACTGTGCCCCTTGTGAGGTGCTTTTTTGCTCCCCCCTCTCACTCCCATCTTTGTTCAACAAATGCATGTAGCTTCTGGAAAATTTTTAAAAAAGTTAATAAATAAAGTGGGCATAAGAAAATAAAGTGGGCATAAGAACTGTAAGGGTTATCCTAAGGGTCAGATTAGTTCATGGATCAGCATGTTAAAGCCCAAAGCCTATATGAAATGTTATTGTGAGGACAGAGAATGCATGTTTGATTTGGTTTTGAGGTATTGCCATGTCTAATTCAATTCTTCAATCAAATTTCTTATTACATGGTTCAGAGAGGACAAGCCTCTGATGTAGAAGCACATGCACAATAAAGCCTGATCCATGGGACACAGAGGACAGTCTACTAAGGCTGACAGGAGTCCTTAGACCACCTGTCCCAATCCTCTTAGTTTTTGGACATCAGGGCCAAGGACCGGAAAGTACCTTGCCAAAGGCCACTCTGTATGGCAGAGCAGGACTCTGGCCAGTGTCAGCTCCCAGGCTACTATATTTTCCTGTGGGGAAACTAAGGTTCCCTAGTGATAAGCCTCTGTAGTCCCCAAAAGAGTGACCCATTGAATAAGAAGGATAAGGAGGAGACAACCTTGAAAGTTGTATGATTTGTATGAGTGTCCCTAATCCTGTTTAAAAGCAGAAAGGGGGGCCTGTACTTCTCTGGGGCCAAAAGACACAATTCTCTTCTGTGTTCTGCCCTCGGTCACTCCCCTTACTCCAGCACCCCAGTGGAAAACTCCTCCAGATTCTGCATTCTGAGAGAAGGAAGTTGGGTAGAGCTGATTCAAAACAGGAGTGAGGAGAGGCTGGTAACAAAGAATCACCTGGCTTTAGCTTCTGCTTTCCTCTGCCTGAACTGTCCAGTATATGAGTCAGTAGCCAGAATGGCTATTTAAATTTCCATTAAATTAAAATTACACAGGCCCAGCCTCGGTGGCACAGGCAGTAGTACACTAAACGGCAATGCTGGAAGCTCCATGCCTACTGCAGGTTTAGACACACAGGCACAAACACGCCTGAGCTTCTGATGAGGTGGAAGGCCGAGGGAAGAGGATCACGGTATGACAAGACCCTATGAAGAGTGTTCTTTTCTCGCTTTCTTTCTCATATGTGCATATATGTAGTAGCTGTCATGAACTAAATAAAAATAAACTTAAAAACAACAAGCTTACATGAAGTTTAACGTCCCATTCCTTAGTCACAGTTGTCACATTTCAAGTGCTCAGTAGCCACATGTGACTAGTGGGCACCATGTTGGACAGCACAGAGATCTAGAACTGTCCATTGTCACAGAAGCATCCATTAGATGGTGCTATCCTAGGATATCCTAAAGACCTTAAGAAAGTGAAGTGGTTGAAAAGTTAAGGTGTGGGTTTGGAGAAAGACTCACAACTCTCTTTTGAGGGGATGAACTAGAATAGAGAATAGATGATCCCCAGGCTTGAGGCAAGGAACAACTCCCTGTGGTTGGCTGAATAATGGCCCCCAAGATGTCTACATCACAATTCCCAGAGCTTATGACTGTCATTTTGTATGTAAAAAAAACTTTGAAGATATGATCCAGTTAAGAACCTTGAAGAGATTATCTTGAATTATCTGGTTAGGGACTAAATGTGGCCAGAAATGTCCTAATACGAGGCAGACAGAGGGATATTGACAATAGAAGAGAAGGCAGCAATGTGACAACGGAAGCAAGTGTTGTGCTGCTGGCTTTGGAGATGGAGACCATGAGCCATGGAATGAAGACATGCAGCTCCAGAAGCTGGAGATGGCGGCAAGGAATGTTTGCTTCTCTAGAGCCACCAGAGGAATGCAGTCTAGTCACACTCCAGTCTTCTGACCTCTAGAACATTAAGAGAATCACTATGTGTTGTTCAAGACACCAAGTCTGAAGCAATTGGTTGTAACAGCAATAGGAAATAAACCTAATCCCACCGGTAGAGTCTCTGACAGTGACCCCTCATAGCTTTGTGCAGAGGGAACAGAACACTGTAGAGGGCGAGCTAAACTTTCCTGCAGGAGAAACGCAGACTGAGGTGGTCTGAGGCTCTACTAATGGTACAAGATCCTTAAGAAGTGTGCCTCTTCTTGAGATTCCAAGGAGGCTCTGGGGGTTTTGGATTTCTATCTAGAAAATAGTACATTTTCTTATTTACCAGATGAAGGCTCAAGTGGAGCCATGAGCTGTCTCTGGTTTCATTATTAATGAGCGGGCCGGGCCACAGCTAGAATCTGGGTCTCCTCCTTCTTGATGGAGTTCTTTTCCCACACACCCTGCCCCCAAGCACATTAGAAGGCCAAATCTCAATTCCACAGAGGCAGGATCACCAGAGAAGGCTGCAGGAGGCCAGGACTGCCTCATGAAGAAATGCTTCACCCGGGATTGCAGACAACAGCATGGAATCCTTGCAGTGGGGCAATGTGAAACTTCACCTATTACACAATATGAGACTAGTTTTTGCTTTCTCTTCTTTTCCTATGACTTCCTTTTTTGTCTCTTGGGCCAAAGAGCTGATATGTGCTTATTTGAATTTTCAGTTGAGGTTTCTCCAGGTTTCTGGGAGGGGACCAAAGCCAGAATAAATGAGGCAAGATAAGCAAAGGGAACTACGGTTAATGGAACATCTTCTAGAGCCAGGCCTATGTTTTTCTCCTTGCTTGCAGTGCCTGCCTCCCCTATTTCACTCTCCTCACATACTGTTCATGCAAACTTTCTGTCCTTCTCTCCATCTCACCCAACACAGAACCTTCCATACAGCTGACATAGGCATTTTCCTCCCAGGAGGTTGGAAGCCAGGTAAGCAGAGGCAGGAACCAAAGAGCAGCACTGAGCAAGCATGGTGCAAAACCCAGTTCTTCCTGGGGGCCAACATCACTGACCACATTGCAGTCTTGGGCTGCTTTCTACCTTTTACAAAGCCAAAGGAGTTATCCTCACTTTCATTTCTGCTTGTCTCCACTAGTTTTCGCTTCTAAACACCTTTCTTCCTGGGTTCCCATTGAATCTAGCAGACAGAAAAATGGAGAAAGACATAGAAACTGAGAGATATGGGACCAGCAGATGAAGTAATAGTTACATCAATGGACTCTCACATAATTAACTGCAGTTTGAGTCCCAGGCCAGGCAGCTTGAAACTCACGCTGGATGCATGTGTGCCCAATATTCCGAGAACAGAATGGAGAAGAAGGGATTGCAGCATGGCATTCCCCCCCCCCCCCGGGGGGTGATTTCTCACTTTCTGTCTCTCTGGCAAGCCCATGCACCCTCTAGCAAAAATCTCCCTAAAAAGGAAAGAAAGAAACTGAGATACACAGTTGTGACAGCATTTTTCTATGTTTTAAGTAGTTTTATTTTTAGGTATATGGTCCACTTAATCTCACCTAATCTCATTGTCCATAACAAAATAGCTTGGTGTTCACCTTCAGATTTTCATGCACCTGGGCACAGGTGTGACATGAACAGGGTCTGGAGCAGACATGCAGTTGGGTGTTTGAAGATTCTGACAAGTATAGGAAATGACTCTTTGTAATATGAAATTCCAGAAGAAATGGAATTTCAGACTGTTTAGGAGTCTAAACACAGAAGCCATTACACCCTAAGTTCTCACGTGCCAGCCGGGGGAAAAAGAGAAACAGAAATAAAATGTTGGTGGTTACAGATATGAAGGGTGAATTTTATGGACTGAGGGCATGCAGGGATTCTCAGAATCTGTGCTCTGCCTTCTCTGATGTTTTTGTTTGTTTGTTTGTTTCGTTTTTTCATACACTTGATAGCTGTTGTAGATACCTGGCATTTCCCAGTAATAATATGTTATGAGACCTTGATAAATCCTCAAATTTACAATAGTCACAAGGGCACTAGAAATGAGCTTTTATGGAGACATGATTTTTTTTTTTCCACCAAGAAATAAAGATTATGTCAAGTTGGTGAAATATTCTTCACTTCCACATGCATGAAAAGCATCTGGACTCCTCTAGGAGATTCCACATCAGTGGGTATTTGGAAGGTATAGATTTTGTTTTGAGTTTTAGTTTTTTCATTTGTGACATGGAGATTCCAATGGAAACCATCCCACAAGCCTGTGCAATGACATATATAAAATGCAAGCACCGAACCTGACAATCTTACACTCAATAAATCAAATATTGTTATTATTATTCAAACAAAACCCTCCTCAGCTTCCTGGCAGCTCCCATGACTGAATGCATACTTCAGCCAAACTATTACAGGTCTT